CCCAGCCACAGGACTGAAGAAGAAACTGTGATGGGAGGGCAATTCAGGTCCCTGCCATCTGTGATGCAACCGCCTGCAAGAAGCAGCGGTGGGAAGCAGCACGAAATGACAAATAAAGCACCACTAAGCCCCATTTCTGCCCTGCCAGGGTGCACACATTAGCTTGGGAAACCCAGGATTGCTTCGAGGTGCTTGGAGGAGGACTGACCATATCCCGATACAGTGGTGTTCACAGGGGATTTCTCTCCCTGAGCTTCTGTGGCTGCCTTCAGCTGCTCTTTCAACCTGCTGATATCACAGTCTGCCTTGGCCTTGACGATGCTCAGCTCCGTGTAGATGTCTTTGTACTTGTCGCTGGCGTATTTCTTATCCTGGCAAAGGAACGAGAGCAAACGGAGTCAGACGTGCAGCTGGGGCCAAGGGGGCAGTGGATGCACTGAAGGGGAGCTTGGCAAACGCCGACAGAAGAGCCGGCAGTGGGGAGAAATGCTCAGCACAGATTTCACACACTCAAAGCTGCATCCAACAGCAATACGGGACTTGAGATCGGCAGAAAGCTCCGAGCTGCACGTGCAGCTCCTTCGTTACAGGGTTTGTGGGGTTTAGTTTTTAGCAAAGACACAGAATTCAAGCAGAATTCCCAGAAATGGCCTTGGCAAAGAGGTCGTGCAGAGCAAACCGGATCCGATGCTGGGAGGCTGGGCAGATCTCGAACACTGATTATTTCTGACATTTCAGATCTGGTCTGATGTGACAGAAAGCAGGGAAAAACACCAAAGGGGATGTTTTCCCAGAAGAGGGGAGGAGGGGTAAGGCCAGAGCTGATACAGTCGTGGAGTGCTTCACTGATGACACCAAGATGGGTATTCAGTGTCATTCAGGGAAAAAAATCAGTGTTGTTTCAGATGTGGGGATAAGAGCGAGCTGAAATCTAAGCACAAACACACACACAGAGCTCAGCCCATAAGAGATTTGCAGAAACGTCCCTGGGCATTACCCTCAGTGCTGTCTGCAGCTCGTCCTTGAGGGAGCTGATCTCCTGCTTCAGGTACTGGATTTCCGACTCTTTGACCCGCAGCAGGACCTGTGGGAACAAAAGCAGCGCACGTTCACACCCCAGCAGACGCAGTGTGATCCTGACGTGCTCACCCACTGCGCCCAGTGACAATCCCACCCAGCTCAGCCCCACGCCAGCGCCACAAAGCTGCTGCTTCACCCATCTTCTGGTTCACGCAGGAAAATGACTCCTGGGTCTCGTGGGACTTGGCCCACACTTGCAGTGCTGATGCACTCCCTGCACTCCCCTCTGTTTCTGTCAGTCCCCATTGCTTTGTGTGGACTGGATCCCAGCATGGGATGGATAAGGACGACCGAGTGTCTGGCTTGCCATGGTGAGAAGGGAAGATGAGGAACCCAAAAGTTCCCAGCCCCATTGCTCCCCTCAATGCACGGTGCTGCCCAGCCATGCAGACCCGATGCGTGGAGGGTTGTGGCACGCTCCCGGGGGTCCACTTGTGCCCACCACCACCCCCCCTTTGCCACAGCAGAGCTCACCTCCAGCTCGTAGGCGTCCTTGCCCTGCGTGAGAGGCGACCCAGCAGCCTCCCCCCCGCCCTCCCCGGTCAGCAGGGTCCGCAATCGCGTGATCTCCGCAGCCAGGCGGTTATTCAGCTCCTGGGAAGAGGAGGAAAAAGCCGCTGTGGGACGGGGGAGCACGGCCAGGGCTCGGCGTAGAGCCCACAGGTTTGCCCATCACCCCCTGCTGCGGGGATCGGCGGGGACCCTCACCTGGTTGTGGGCGTTGAGCTCCTGGTTCTCCCGCTGGCACTGGCGGAGGGCCTGCCTCTCAGCCTCCAGCGCCTGCGCCAGGTGGGCGTTCTCCAAGCACTTCTGCGAATACTGCTCCGAAAGCACCTCCAGCTCCCGCTGCACCGACTGCAGCTCCTCCCTGGCAAAACACGCACCGGGTAGTGCGCTCCTGGCACACACACCCCCATCCCTGCTCTTCCTCCAGTGCCCCGGGACAACCCACCAGGGATCCAAGCGCCGAGGAGGAGGACTTGCCCTTCCCTCTCCTGGCACAGTGGTGCTTGGGCACCAAAGGGGACGGGAGCTCTTTGCCATGGAGGTTAAATGGCAGAACTGCCTCAGGTTTCCAAAACCTGAGCCTGGATCTATCAAGTTTGCTCCGGGCACTCAGGACTGGGTGTATTTGCACACCTACACAGCTCACGTAGATGTGTCAAGGTTAATAGAGCTGCTTTTCGCTGCACATCTGCCCCTTCTGATGGCCATAAAGCACCTAAATTTGGGAAGTGTAGGGACATTGTCCCAGAGCCTGAAAGATTACGGGCAACCAGGAGCCTCTGATGTGTGCACCTGAGCCAGAACCAAGAGAAGAGATCCCTGTGACCACAGCTCTGCCCCACACTCATTGCCAAAATCGAAGGGGAAAAGGGGGTCTCCCGCACACGCGATGTGAGACGCAGTGACAGAGGATGAGGACGGTCTTACAGGTACTGCCTCCGGAGGGCCTCGATGTCGGCATTGACGCTGCTGATCTGTGAGCGCTGGGACTTCTCCAGCTCTCGCTCCAGTTCCTCTCGGTGCGCGTTCTTCATGGCTTCGATGGCTGCGGGGGACAGCACAGCGTTAGCACCGGCACCGCGCCACCCAAGGACCTTTTCTTTGAGGTTTTGTTGCTTATTTCTTTAAAGGAACAAAAACTGAGTCATCCCAGCAAACCTCCCACTGCTTCTTGCCCCTGGCGCTTCTGCAAACCCCACTTTTTAATAACACCCAAAAGATTGTCCACATGCATTTTCCTGGACTGTGGGGCTGCTAACGCAGAGATCCAGCACTTTAAAACGCCCTCGGGCACTGAAGATGTGCAATCAGCAATAAATTAACCACAGGAATGACCAACGCCTTTCTGAGACAGAGTGGAAAATGGATCAGCTCTCATCACAGCCAAGGGGATGGGTACCAAGCCTGGAGAAGGACCAAGAGATGGACCTAGATCCAAACCAGCTCTCCCACCAGCCCTCATCCCTCCCCACACCGGGTTGTCCCCAGCAACGCGGAGCTGCCCCGTACCCGAGATGGTGGCAGCCGTCTCCTCTGCCAGCAGGCGATCCTTCTCCTCCCGCAGCTTCTCCAGCTCCCGCTGGTGCTGCCGCTGCAGGTCCTCGATCTTCTTCTGGTGGGTCTCCTCCATGGCTGCAAAGCCCCTTTCACATGTTGCCTGCAAAAAGGGACGAGGGGAAGGGGTTGGCCACGGTGTCACCGCAGTGGTGAGCCACACAGCAGCGGGGAGGTTGGCACCCAAATTCCACCACGGGGATCTTCTCCCTCCCTGACCATGGAGGAGCCAAACAAGGATGGACCCCACAGGTCAGAGCTCGTCCAGTCAGCTCCACCCCTGACAGCTCCAGTGGAAGGGAAGGACAGGGCCAGACCCAACTGGGGAATGCAAATATGTATTAAAACCAACAAAACAGCCTACTTCGCCTCTTCTGCAATACCTGATTTTATGTGGCCACCCTGGGGTGGGAAGCAGATGACTTGTGACAGCAACAGCACCTTAATTCCCAACTGAATATCGCTTCAAATGCAGGCCAATTAATTGCTAATTCAATTACAAGGAGTCACCATAGGCCAGGACGTGGGAGCAGCGCTCTGGGGACTCGGGAGTCACCAGGGGTGAGACCCCAAATCCCAGCCCGGTCCTGCCCCAGGCACAGACACCATGGAAGGAAGAACTGGTGCCCTGGGAGCCACTGGGACCCCATGGGCGATCTGAGGGGGACAAATTCACCCCCCAGTGACAGAAGTGCTCCCGACAGCCTGACACCCCCTGACCTACACTAACACACACTCATCATCTCATTCCCAATTTTCAGCTCCGGTGCTTTTACTCCTCCTCTTTAATTTGAATCCTGAGGCATTCTTCATTTTCTCAGCCTTTTTCTTTTATTTTGAAACTCGTAACCGAGTGGCAGAACCTGTCAGGACACGGCTGAATATGGAGAGGCCCCAAGCAGCCTTGCAGGATTCTTCAAAACCTCCAATGCTGGAGGACAACAGTGACTGCTCCTCCACGAGTCTGGCTGTAGATTTGGGATTTAATGTATTGTAAATGCATTGCTATAACCCAGGACATTTGAACACGGACACACCGGTGTCTCGTGTTGCTGATGTTCTCCATCAGCTTCAGAAGAGAAGAACTGAGCACATCTTAACCCATAAACTGGACACGTTTGCAAGCGCCTGCTTTGCTTTCTGACCAAGGGGGGGTTTCGGGTTTGCTGCTTCCCTCTGCTTCCCGCAGCGGTGCAGAGAGCCCCTTCCCTCTGCTCTCCTGGACCGCTCTGCCCAGAAGATGCTGCTTCCCTTCCCGCCAGGCAAACTGCAAACTTGGCACAGCAAAACCAAAAACAAAGGCGGGAGATCAGGTTTGTTGCTCGCTGTTATTTTCCAGCCTGTTTTGGTTCTGGTCTTTCTGCCTCTTCCAAAGCCAGAGCATCCCCTGGTACAAGCATCCCTCACAGGACAAGGCACTACCCCTGCGTCCCGCTGACTCGAGGCGGGTTCAGAAAGGGTTTTCTTTCATCAGGGTTAAGGAGGAGGAGATGGTGTTCAGTGAACACCACCGCTTTCCTCCCATCTCCCCGGCACAGCATCCACATCGCTGCCCCTTCAACCTGGGAGCTCCCCTGGGTGCTGCAGGAGGCGACACTGCAGGTGATACTGCCCTCAACCCACTTCCCAACTGCAAATGCTCTCCCATCAAAAGCAGAACACCAAGCCCAAGAGGGTTTTTTTTGGATGCCGTACCATCTCAGGCCAATTTTACAACCGGTGGGGCAAACTGAACGCAGGCACTTCGTGGCCGCTAGGTTCTTCTGCGCCTACCCTGCATTACCCCAAACTGTGCACTGTTTGTTGTGTAGAGCATCACCAATGTGTGAGGCCAGGGAGCTCCTGCTCGCAGCCTCGTGCAGAGGAGCTTTGCTTTGCTACAGAATTTGGCACCCGTTTGCAGCTACTTTCCCCAGGAAAAGACATTTTGAGAGCATTACGTTTCCATTTCATCTTACATTTCTGAGGGCAGCAGAGACAGACTGGAGACTTGATCAGGCTGGGAAAGACAGAGTTGAGGAATGCTTTTAAAGGGAAGTCACAAACAAAACGTACGCCCCAGGTACGAGGAGAAACACTACGCTCTT